CTTGGGCAGCTCGACACTGATTGGTGGTGTTGCTATGACGTCAAGTGTGCTTCTTGGGCTTATTTTCAGTTATTATATAACGCGGTGTGGCGCGTCTTTTGTCTAGTGAAAATGGAGTTACGACATAATAGCCCATGTGTGTAATGGATATGGCTGTGGTGTAAGATCAGACTTATTACGTGAAATATGATCAATGATATTTGGACTGCTGCGAGGCAGGTCACGAGTTGTTGGCCATCGCTCGGTCTTTGTATTTGCTCGTTTATACGCTTCAGCGCTTTCGCTGATGAAAATATTTTGATGACATTTCATTTCTGAGAATATCCCATGGATCAAAGCCGATCGCTTGCATCATCCCTGGCTACAGGAAACTAACTACTGTCGACGCTGACTGAACGCGACTGGGCGGGCAGGGCGATGTCTTCATATCTTGAGCGAAAGGACGACCAAAGGTCACCCTAATTTCATAGCTGGGCCTGGATGACCGTGACATGACTTTACAGTGTGACTTGAGGCTGAATGAAGCCTGCGATGGGATGGCCTGCATGACACGTTGGCCACAACACGTACCCGTCCATCAATGAAATTAATCCTGGTCTTTGGACCTGGTCGCATGTCTCGACTCTTTATCGGGGGAGTCACCGTGCACCATCTTGCGTCCGTCCTACTGACCCAGTTTCTAACTCAGTATGACTCTTCCCCAGAGTCATACTGCCCGACGGAGTCTTAGGAGTCTTATGACTCTTGCCCGACGGTAGCTCTGTCCGGACTCTGACTCCATCTGACTCAGTATAACTCTCCACAGAGGAGTCGCCCGACAGCAGCTCATGTCCGTCCGACTCTGACGATGACGAAGAGAAACCTCCGCGCCGGAGGAACGTGTTCTGCATTCAGACGGAGCACCTGATGGCCAACCACGCCCGCTGGACGGACGTTATACGGGTACGCGGGCCGCATAGCTCCCGACGACGGCGGCGCCGGCCTCAGATAACAGATGACAGATGGGCTCAGCAGGGCCAAAATATCGGCGCCGGTCGGCATAGCTATGGTCATGGAGTTGTGCTAGGATTTAGTGTTGGATAGTCAGCAATGTAAATTTTCATAGACCGAAAATGTTTTTTTAGAAGAAACGTGCGTCATTTATTTGCTTCACTTATAGCGATGTGCTTCTCAGAGTTTAAATGTATAGTCGAAAGTAACTTCAGCTCGGGAATATCTCACGTCAGTGCCATCGCATGGTTTCATTCCAAATACACAATGCATGACCTGTTGTGATTTACCATCTCGTGCGCTGTATATCTGCTCTCCCTATCACCATTCTGAAAGCGCCGCCTGGTCCCGTCTGACAGCCCAGCCTCTCCTCAGTCTGACAGTCCCGCCTGCCCCCAGGCTGTCCCCGGACTGACAGTCCCGCCAGTTCCGGTCTGACAGTCCCGCCTCTCCCGCTCACCGCCCGCAGGAGGAGCAGTCGGCGCGCGATGTGTCAGTGTCGGTGTCAGTGTCAGCGGCGCCCTCCGGCGGTCCCTCCGAGGCACGGCTCGAGGATGACGGCTCGGAGAGCTCGCTCCAAGAGGAGACGGCCGATGAGATGGAGACTATCACTGAGGAGCGCTCCCCCTCACCTGGCTCCCGCCGGTTTAGCTATGTGAGTGGGGGAAGAGACTAGGGAACTGAGTTGTGTTTGTTTTGTTTGTTTTGTTGGGTTAGGCCCTTTCTGTCTGGCAAGACCCATAGACCTCTGTATACCGTGTACAGAGGTCTATGCAAGACCATTACAGAGGAATTTCAGAATGAAAGGAATTAAACGGAGACGTTGGTTTGGGCAGGCACCCTAAGGTCTGTTCCAGTCGCACTTCCTAACACCTCTAAACTCCTCCAAGATTGCTTCCCTGTTCCAGTGGCAGCTCTAGCCCCTACAAAGCCAAGGAGGGCCCTGCTCCAACCTCCTCTATTTTGCTCTTGGAGGAGTTTAGAGGCGTTAGTAAGTGCGACTGGAACAGACCCCTAGAGTCACCTGGGCTGAGCCCGTCCCAATGGACAGGCCGACCAGCCCCCAACTAGTACTCTCTGCACCCGGCTACGGGTGCGCTCCCTCGGGAGCAGCGGTGCCGCTCCAAGGGAGCAGCCCGCCTGAGATAAAGGTGTCTGTCCAGCCCGGAGGGGGATTGCGGCGTGGAGAGGGATTGGAACATCCTGAGGATGGAAACGACGGACGGGTGAGGGAACTGAGGCTTTGGTATGGGATTTAAGCTACATTTCATTGAGAATTGTGCAAGGAAAATATTTTGCTCTTTCGGACTATCCTGACAAACAAGCTTTTTTGTTAAGATTGTTTCGGAAACCTGACGTTGCCGCGTCTGTTTCAGGACCAAGACTCGAAGCTATGATTAGTGCGAACTCTCGTTAGTGGTGTCTCCAAGTGGTTCTCAAACCGCCTGAGGCCGCGGTCCGGCGCCGCGTCCACCTCAGCTGCCGGCAGCGAGACCACAGCGCCCGCCGCGGCGCCGGCGTTAACTGCTAGTGCGCGCGGCGGCCGCCAGGGGCGGTCGAGCCGCCTCAGCCGTGCGTGGACTCGACCCGCTAACGAGAGTTGATATTGCCTGAAGACGCTGCGCCAGCGCGCTTGGTGTGCGGGATGTGTGACGTGCCATCGCGGACGGCGCGGGAGTGACGAGGCCAGCCCGCCGGCCGCCCACAGGGTAACATGAACCCTCATCGCTCGCTCTCGGCGAGCGAAGCGCTATACTCTTCCTGGGGTGACAACTGTTATTTGCGCTTTGTGCTCGAGCCCGCGCCGCGACTCGGCGTGTAACAAGTCTGCGTGTATGCTCCTGTATTCTGTTCGCGCCTCGTCCGATAGAGCCCGTAGAGGACCTCTAAACTCAGGTGTTCTGGTCATACGATGTCGATGTTCCAGATTGGAGGCATGCCTCAAAACTCGCCTCGGAGTGAGAATCTCTTACAACGAACTCATTCAGAACGCGAGAATCTCGATGGTATTCATTGGTGCGGGGCAGAACGCGCACTAACGATGTCTGCGCCTGTTTCTGTATCATTATTTTGGCATCTCCATACTGTCCGTTGCGTTCAGCGCTCTATTAACTCGCTGGTCGGGCCAGTGTCGTGCCGGTCTTCGGTCATATCGCAGCCAGCGACGCTTGTGGCGCTTTCGACCGCTCGCGGTGGTCTACAGTATTCACCGCGGCAGGAGAGCCGTGCTAACCGAGCGGCAGATCGCCGTGAGCGTACCGTCGGGCCATCGCCGACCGGTTTCTATCGATGTCCACGTTTGTTATATATCGATGTTTTTGCCTATCGATGTCGACTGTCGTATTTCTGGTTGTCCGTTCAGAGCTCCGAGCGGACACGTACAAACTGGGCGCTGCAACGCCGGCGACCGGTTATCGAGCCCCGCCGACCGGTCCTGTGGTGCGGTCCTGCCGGTGGTCTGCGGCCGGTCCTCGGACCACAGTGGACCGCGGTCCGAGAGCCCGCTCCTCCAGAGACGCGCTGGCTACCGCCTGCTGGTCGGACAAGACCCGCGCGTATCGCACTGCTAATATACATGTGACGTATATACGACGACTGCTTCTTGTGTGGCGCTTCCAAAGGCGGGATAAGATTCAAATATTTTGCGGAAATGATTGGGAAGAATGAGGTGAGTGTTTTACTTCATTGGCAGCCATTGAAGTAAGGGATGGCTGGTAAATTATAAACTCCGTTATCATTTGCAACTCCTGAGCGCATGAAAGTACCACCCGTATCCATCTCGGCGCCTCTGCAGCCGTAAGTAGGTACATTTTCCTTTACCAGTGTGGCGAGCGGGTGTTCTACCAAGAGGCGGTCACGGCCAGGTCCGGGAGGGGGTGGATGACGTCACATGGGGGATGTGTCTGGGAAGCCCACCGAGCCGCCGATCGCGGTGTCGATATACTGGACAGCTCCGTGGCTGAGACACGGGATCGGGAAGGCCGACGGCCAATGGTCGGACGTGGAGGGGTATTGGTGGCAGTAAGCTGCGACGGTGTGCGTAAATAGGCGGTTGCAGAAATAAATTTAGGTGTGCACGCGCCTTGTGACGCGGAGGAAGGTGAAGTATGTACATGTACTACATCCCTACATACATCCCTCACATCAGTAGGGAAGACGTTATTCAACGTATATAGTCAAACTTTAAACTTGCATTATTTCCATAACCCCGACGTAAACAAATATTCCCAAGTAAAAACTGCATGATTCTCAGACACAGTACCGATTAGTGACGTAATTTGATCACGTCATGGCTTAGTGCAGCTCAGCGAATACATCACGCTATGACGTCACACGGACAGAGCTGACAGAGGGCCAAGGTGAACGGGCCGTGGCTTCCGAGCATGGAGCTGAGCTTAGCGGACTGAGGGGGCTGCGAACCCCGTGACACGGATGTGCAGGGGTGGAGCTGTTTTCAACACAACAATAACGACCCGCTCGGAGGCCAAAGCGCTAAACCAAAAGGCAGCATAATAAACGGTACAAACTCATTGCAAAATTACTTTGAAGGCCGTCACAATACCTACACTTTTTAATCATTTGCTAAAGCATCATGTTGTTGGTTAAATTTCAGCCAGTTTTGATAGTTTTGAAATTGACCTATCATCGTGCATTCCGTAGGTATGGACGTTACTAGACCGGCCGACCAACTGCGGAGCGCAACGCAAATTTTTTTCTTCGCCGGAGACAGAAAAAAACCAAGTTGTTTTAAAAACCCGGGTGACAGGCGTTCAAATATCACGATGTCGTACAGATCATCGATATTGTTTGGCGTATTTCTTGTAAGCTTTTAATTTATATACCTGCATTCGTTAATAACTGCTTCTTTCGACAAATACGAAAGGCAGCTGGCGATGTCTAAGCTTGTTGCTCATTTAGTGAATAAATAAGAATCAATCAAGCCTGTATGTGAAAAGTGGTTTTCTTTTCTCGAGTGAAATTATTTGAAGATAAAATACATTTTACACAACTGTAAGTAAATAAAGGTTTTATTTATTTTTATCACATTGTCCAATGCCCTTCAGACACACACTACGCTTGCGAAGACAACATTACATATGATGGATCAGACAAGCCATTTAAACACCAAGCCGTTCAATCACAAACAACGGAGAACAAAGCCACAACGGTTAGGTACCGGACGGAATAACACATGCCAGCAGCTACCGTGCCAGCTGCACGGAAGATCGAAGACCCAGGAAGTGAAATAACGAACCCTGCTCTGACTCAGCATAATTTGGCGTGCTCGACCTCGGCTTTAGGCAGCGAAGGTCAGGGCTACGGCCACACCTACCGACTCCCCTCTCCGACTCTCTATTCACCCCTCACCCTCTCTCCAACGCTCGCGTCGCTCTCTCCCCTTCTTCCCACCTACCGAGCTTCCTATCTCTCCCCATCTACCTCTCCTCCATCTCTCCCTGTTCCCCGGCGACCCTGTTCATCACCGCCCGCTCAGTAGGTCGGTTTGTAGTCGGGAAGGAAGGGGTTGGGCGGCCTCTCGGTGGTCGGCTTCTTCAGGTGCTCCAGGCCCTGGCCGTAGTCCACGCCCAGCGGCACAGCCGTGGTAGTGGTGGTCGGCGCTGGCCGGGGGAACTTCTTACAGCAGACACCGACTCCAGCTCCCAGCTTGCACTGGCCGATGGCCACAGTCGGTGTGTCTTTAGTGATGGGGTAGGGCAGCTTCACGCCGTCCGACTTCAGGAAACCCGTGTACGGGTCGCACTGCTCGTCAGGCACACAGGGCAGCGCGCTGGCCGGGCCCGGGCAGCTGGCGCGCACCGGACCCTTGGGGCCGGCCGGGCCGCCCAGCGGGTTCGTGTTGAGCTCCTTGATGGGCTCGGGCGTGGGACGCTGCGCCGGCGGCGGCACCGGCTTCACGGCCACCTGGAACGAGCTGGACGGCGGCAGGGCGAGGGAGCCCGACAGGAACGGGTTGGAGGGCCGCGTCTGCTGCACCGGAGCCGCCGAGCCACCAGACGATACCTGAGTGGAGTCGGCGCTGGCGGCGCCTGTGGCGTAGGTCGTAGGGAGGTCAGGGATGCCCTGCGACAGAGACGAACCCGGCGCGGGAGCGACGGGAGCTGAACCCACCGGCGCTGAGGCGGCCGGGGCGGGGACGACCGGCGCAGGGGCGGCCACGTCAGCGGCTACCTGACCAGGGTTCTGACCAGGGAACTCTTGGCCGGGGAACGCCTGACCAGCAAACGCCTGACCTGGGAAAGCCTGGCCGGGGAAGGCTTGACCAGGGAAAGCTTGGCCAGGGAAGGCAGGGAAACCATCCTGTGCTTGCCCCTCAGCGTGAGCCTGTCCAGCGTGGGCTTGCTCCTCAGGGTGAGCCTGTCCTGGGTGAGCTTGTCCATCATGGGCATGTCCTGGATGAGCCTGTCCCGCATGAGCCTGCCCCTCAGGGTGAGCCTGTCCTGCGTGTGCTTGTCCCTCAGGGTGCGCTTGTCCGTCGTGGGCTTGTCCTGAGTGAGCTTGACCGGCATGGGCTTGTCCATCGTGAGCTTGTCCTTCATGCGCGTGATGCTCCGGGTGGGCTTGTCCGTCGTGCGCGTGATGTTCCGGGTGCGCCTGTCCGTCGTGCGCGTGCTCTCCGTGCGCGTGCTCTCCGTGCGCGTGCTCTCCGTGCGCGTGTTCTCCGTGATGGCCGTGGTCGTGCTCCGAGTAGTTGGGGTCTCCGGGCAGCAGGCTGGGGGCGGCGCCCACCAGGGCCACGCCCAGCAGCAGCAGACACACCGACACGACGCACCGCATCTCGGCAGCAGAGGCGACTGGCGACTGGCGACTGACGCCGCGGCGCCGGCGCCGGCTCTAGTGGTGCCCGACGCTCCTCCCCCGCCGGCCCGGCCCCACAGCGGAGCGACGCCAGCGGCCGTCCAGTCTTCCTGAGAAGAGCGCCGCCCAAGGCCTTTCCCGTGCCGCCCGCCCTGGCCTCTGACAGGTAGCAAGCAGCCTCGGACCCGCTATCACAGGTAACTGCAGGCTGAGTCACCAACACGCAATGATCGTTGGAAGGATACAAGTGCAATGACAGCTGCCTGAAAACCCCGCATTCCGGCATACAGCTCCGTTCAGTTTCTTTGAGAGGTGTTGGGACTTGGAGAGTCGCGCTGTTAATTCAAGTTCGATTACGAATGTGAACCATCTCGATCCCCGAGGCACTGCGCAGAATGCGACGGAATTGCGACGATACTTTGAGGTGATGGTAAAATATTGACCACGGTTACCAAATACCGGACAACTTTTTCACAGAATTGCTCGAAAATAACATAGAAAACGTATTCCAAATTCGTGCAATAACTGCCTTTTTTAATCTAGCAATGCTTGCCAAATTTCATAATGCTTAGTGAATTATGCATGCATTAGAGGTTGCAAAACAAAGATAAGGCTTTCCTCGATGCCATGCACCAAAAGTAAACTTCGAATACGAGTATAATATCAAAGGCCGAGCTAATATGATTAGGATGCAGACCACTACACCGGCGGATCACCCGGGGTGACGCTGGAAGGACTCTCAGTGAACACTTGAGCAGTCCTCGGTAGATAAATCACAAAGAAATAGCATCAGTGACAACAAACCGAAGCCGGCACTATGAGTAAAAACAAAATCAGCGTCATTGTGCCCCCACCAGTACCTATATTTCCGAGACCTAGTTGGAATACTTCAATTCAGTCATTCTGCCAATGTCTACTCAAGGAGTGCAGATGGAAATGCTGAAAAAGTGAATGACACTTTGCAGCTGCACTAAGTAACTGGTTTTGAGAAGAAAAACACCTATTGTTATTGTTGCTCCGATGGGCTACCTCAAATAGGCAGCTTCAAGGGCAACAGTGCCAAACAGGTTCGGTGAAACGAAATAATTATTACCGATTAGGCATCAGGATGACAACAGCAAATGACGGACAAAACTTGTCCACCTCACACAGATGCCGTAATTGTTCTGATGCTTCGATTTAAATCCCCATCCCCAACCCACCCCCTGCGTTTTAGATAAGAAGCTCCAAAAAGCCATCTATCAGCAGTGTCCTCTTTTCAGCAGTTAGTCCATGATTCAATGTATTCGATATTTTTCATGACAATAGACACATTGACTTGAAACGGGTGAATGTGAAACCTACGTCTAAAAAATACGAGTTAAAAAGCCAAACAAATAAATTACACTATCCCTGATTGTGCAATGTGCACCAATTTGTTCCGAAGATCTCCCTGGCCCGTGCTGAGACCGTCTCAGCTCCCCCCCCCCCCCCTCATCCTCCGTCACCAGCCGATTCTCTCGGTCGGGAGCCGGATACAGCGAGCCTCAAGGTCAGACACCCGCCCTGTCCAACGACACAATAGTCGTGCGAGTCTGTCAGGGGGGGGGGGTGGCGGATGGGGATGGGGCGCGGATGACGGTGGGTGGATGGTAAGCGCGCTCGAGAACCGGTATCGAGAATAAGTGATGTAACCGACAGCGCAAAACTGAGCGACCCCTGTGCATTTTTTTTTTTTTTAACTGAAACCGGATGTTTTGATGAGTGTTCCTATTTCTTCAGTCCCACGCCTAGAGTAGTTCCATCCTGCGCAATTGCGCGTCCTTACTTCTAAGTTCTACCGCTCGATTAGAGAATGATGGGTGGGTGCCAGAGTTCAAAAGTTGAACAGGCTCACATAGCCGAAAACGGCCTGCACCAATCGACCATTGCCCATTTCATTCGAGAATTCCTGCCACCGACCGCTGGTTGCATGCAATGAAGTCAGCAGCATAGCAAGCACAGAAGACGCGCAATGCTCAATATCAGGGCGGTAGTCGCGCCACCGCTCCATCGGCTCATGCTCTTATCGCTGAGCTACTGAGGTGACTAGAATCTCTATATCATTTCAAAAATAATCTTATTTGTATTTTCCTCATACACAATTTGAGAATTGATGCGACCTAATCACTCATTTATTTTCCATGTTCAAATATATGCAGCTGCTTTCGTCATCATCATGTCGTGCATTGCAGTGAAAATATCGCACACCGGCCCGAGATTGAGCCGAGGACCCCGTTGAATAACTTTGGCAGCGCCCATCGGGACGTCAGGAACTGCGACGCCGCACTGGCGCTAGCCGTGCGCCTGTTGGTAGACTGTACCGCATAGCGCCGAAGTCTGCGGCACAACATATCCACCCCATGGGGCTGGGCGGCTCATTTATCATGCATGTAGGCTGGTCGTTTGTCAGTGTCGGGGAGCAAGCACCAGCTCACGATTCACTGAATTGTGTCCGTGATCTTTCACCTTGAAATTGGTAATTGTAAGCAAGCTGCCGTGCACATTGCATATTGCATAATGCATAGTTAACTACTTTTAAACTTTCGTCACCAGTTCACAACGGTGCTCCATAAGCTATCAAAGCAAGCTGCAAAAACTTCTGAGCCGAAACCACATGTTGAATGAGAAATGAGAATCATTTGCTATTCTTTTCTTTCGAAGAGTTTTCATCGAAGCGTATGAAAAAAATGCGGCGCACTTCTCCGTTATCTCTGGTTTATCGAGTTTATTCAAAACTATGCAAACAGCATAAACTTTTGTCGTAAAAAGTTTCAGTTCAGTGCTTCTCAACTAAATCTATTATCGAAACACAAACTTTTCCAATCTAATGATCAAACTTCGAGCTCAAAAACGCCGACTCCCGCACTCCCGCACAATGAAATGGGTATGGCATTAGCGGGAGATCCGAATCGACACCGGTCAGAGGTGAAATTTACGACTGCGAGGCCACGTCCATCACTGGAGAGTAACGAGTCAACGACAGTACTCTAAAGGCCGCCCCACACCGGAACTCGCATGCGGGTTGCGAGTTTGCGGGTTTTGAGTTTGCGGGCAAAATACTAATTCATAGAGTGATTACATCGTTCCCTTATGGTCACTCCATGAATGCAGTGGAGCCGGTACACCTTCAGAAAATAACATATTGTCGAAATACCAGCACAATGAAACAAAATTAGACTCCAACGAAAAACTCGCAGACCTCGCAGAACCCGCAGACCTCGCACTTCGCAGCAAGGAAAATCGAAAGTTGACTCAAAACCAACTTTTGGAATGCGATGCAAGGTAGCTCCCAAGCTAAAAAACATGCAGACTCGCTTGTTTGATGGTAGTGTGGGTCATTCAGCATAGATTGTGTTATTTAATTTTGAAGAAACCCAAAAACCCAAAAACCCGCAACCCGCATGCGAGGTCCAGTGTGGGGCGGCCTTAAGGATGTAGTGGAAACAGAGCACGCATCATCAAAAAGGGCATTGAGTATGAGTAGGGGAGAGTGGGGAAAGATGCCCAGGGTTTGACTATGTCATATATTATTCGAAAATGACGATCGGAAAGCCAAAACTTGGAGTTTTAACGGAAGTCGACATCATTTTTCTCCAAATATATCACACTTTCGTGCCTGAAACATGATAACTTTTTTTGCTATTAAGCATTTTCCTGAAGGAGTGAAAGGGGGCATCTTACCCCACAGGGTGGAAAAGACGCCCCCTGGCGTTGGGTAAGATGCCCCCTGCACTATAAGTGACAAAAATAGGCACGTGAATCGCCTGAACGAATCAGTAGTCCCTTCAAGCCTGCAGTAGACACCAAACGTCATCGTAAGGGCCCTCAAAAGTAGTCGTAAGGGGCTTCAGAGGTCATCGTTAGGGCCATCATAGTCCAGCGTGGCCAAACAAGCCTCCGTGGTGGCGTTCGGAGACCACTGTGGGGCCCTTATAGGTCTTCATGATGCTTGAGGGCCCTCGAGCCCATCGTGGGGACCTCAGATGCCAGCGCGGCCCGTGGAGCCAACGTGGGAGCCCTCAAAGGATGTCGTGAGGGGCCCTGGAACCAATAATGGGGCCAACAGAGGCCGTCGTGAGGGCTCTTAGAGTCAGATGCCGCCCAAAAAGTTGCTGTGTGGGCCGAGAGACCGGCATGGGGAGCACCCGACCGTACCGGACTCTCAATAGTCCCAGATCGGCTTTTGTCTCTCATCACAAGTATGTAATAAATGATTTGACGGGCTGCTTGAAGGATAGCCTACGGATTTAGGGGGGCGTCTTTCCCCATCAGGACAGGGAGCATCTTACCCCAAGGTACCGAAGTAACATTAAATCAGCACAATTTGTTAGCCATAAAACTACACCCTGAAACAAACTGTTTGGGACACAGTACACGCATGTTAATGTATCACGACTATAGCAAGGGACGCAAAAATTATCTACCTTCTTTGATATTTACAATGTTTTGACGCCAAAATATTTTTTGAAAGCAGCAAATAAAAAACATGCAATCACCAGCCAGCCGGTGCCCAACTGAGCTTCGCAAATTTTTGTGCAGTTAACAAGGCAGGCTTCCGCTTTACGCTAAGAACATTAATTTCCAGGTTCGATTCTTTGTTTCCCCGCTAGAGGGGGTGGGGCATCTTTCCCACCCTGGGCATCTTACCCCACTCTCCCCTACTTGAGTAGTCAAGCCGTAAATATAAGTTGGCGTCATAAGCATGAGGATGAAGGTGTCCCAGCTGATTTTTTTATGGCCAGTTGATTCAGTCTGCCCCTGCTGTCTCCACAAGGTCAAAAACACGTCTGTGCAATCACCGGTAATGTCTTCCGGAGGGTTCTGGAATGCATCACAAAAGAGCCGCCGGGTAGTAACGACGAAGCACCGCCTACATTGCCACGCCGCCCACGCCTCGCCCAGTTGTTGGCTTGCTGAAAGCTTCCTTGCAGGGTTCCCGGGCGCCGTGGGTCAGCGTTACTGCACCGCTCGCCTGCTATTTGT